AAATGTTACTTACTTTACGTTTCGACTCTTTAATTTGACAGAGTTAACGATCCGAGAACAGTATCCGTGCACGTTTCATCGATTGACGAAAGTCAGTTTACCAGTGTCTCGAATTTTCCAAGAGTCGGAGGAACGAGGCCATTAGTGAGGATAGATATGATAGCGAAACCGCTAGTTTTACGCGAGCACGGTATTAAAGTGCAACGCTTTGAACAAAGATTCAAAAAATTATTATTTTGCCACATCCCCAAAAATTCTCAATGACTTGAATCTTTAAACGCTCGATTTTCGACCCTTCAAAGATCGCAAGTTTTTATGTATTTCTATCGGAAGGAGAATTCGGTTGGGCACCACAACCCCCGTCCAAGCGACGACCGTCCGTTAAAATATTAATACTCGACTTTTAATGAGAGCTGCTCATCTTTTCTCTTATGGAGTGCCTGTGCCATCTGCCCTTCCCAGCCTCTCTCCCGGAGCGTTTCATCGTGCCCTCTTCCCATTCCCCACTTGTCACGATCCAATAAACGCTGTACGAAGAATCTTGATTCGCGAACTTCTCGTCTCATCCCTCGCGCCCGTCCCCGGCTCGTGACAGGACCTCGGCGGTCGTGGGTCGAAAATCAAACTCGTATAATTTTCTAGTTACGTTCTATTAAATTCTTAAACGACTTCGGACAATGGACTTTCGCCGGTCCGCTCGACGTTCGCCTCTCAAAGAGAATTAAATTAGACCGGTAACCTATTGAACTCTCGGAGTTTCACGAGCTCGGCGACCATCGATCGGACACCGTGTGTCGCACAGCGTTCGCTGTCCTTTGCTGTATTTCGACGCTGGGATCGTTGATAGATTAACTCGTGGTTCGACGATTAACTAAAAAATATCTTTGACCGATAGTAGCGTTAAGTTTGAAAATTTTACGATTTTTCCCAACAAAGATATAACACAATTGCGAAATATACGCTCGACTAACAGGACATTGAAACTTAAAATATCGACATTAATTTTTGTTACGTTCGATTGACCAAGGACGGTCGGAGCCTGGAAATCAGGTACAGTCCTTATCGTCCTTAACACACTTCCGCTGCTTTGGCCAGCGTTAACGTCCTGGTTCAGCGCTCCGGGCGCATCCTGCGTCTTTGTTCCTCGGGCGTTCAAGGACCGCGGTCGACTATGCCCGCAACATCCTCCCTCTCTCTCCTTCTCACCATATCCTCGTGCTTCGTGTTCTCGGTGATCGGCGCCGCCATCTAGCTTAGTCCTGTGCCACCTCCTGGCACGAGCTGCCAGCCTAATCGTGGCAGGACGTTTTCGCGCCTTCTGCGCCCGCCGGTGGCGCCGACACAACCCCCACCACCTCGCAACTCCTAACTTCCAGTCCAGCGAGAGTTTTGTCGCCTGCGAATCCTCGCGGCGAAGGATCCGTACTGGAGCACCTCATCGAGCTCGTTCTTCGGCTTGTTTCGCAGGCTGCGCCCTTTAACCGTTTGCAAGCCCGTCTAAACTCATGGTCGCGTAGCTATGGGATCTAATCCTGGCGTCAAATGTATGAATTTTGTTTTGTTTTTCGAAAAAGAAATTACTTCTTTAAAATTAGGATTTTGGTGCAGTGACATGGTCTACAAATAGGGTTACCATCTTTGGAATGATAGTCTTTTATGAAAGATGGATATTCGAGACTCTTTCCCTCTATTGTATGGTTTTTTATGTGTTTTCATAAGAAAGATGTGATTTCTTCGTTACTTTTAATTGTTAGGGAAGAAGGTGGTCACAGAGTAGTTCCTAGATGAGCAAATAAGATGAGAGACTGTGGAGAATTTTGTTTGATATATGAAACACAAGTATGAATATTGAAAGCCTTATGGAACTTTTAATTTTTTCTAAAGGAATTTATAATCTGATAATAACCGAAACCTATGTAACAGAATAAGTTCTGTAACATTCTAAATAAATGACTTATCTTGTCCTACCTTTCGCTTTAGTAATTATGATCATTACGAACATTAACGTAGCAAGTTTCGAATTGTGGTTGAACACTGTATCCACTTAAAACGCTATCGATCCAGCGTGTTGCTTCTAGCGTTCCCCATATTCACTGGTAATGTCTGTTTTTCACTCAAATGCTCCCCGAGAGAAGGGTTGAGTAATTGGCTTATTACGAGCTGCCACGGCCATCATAACGAACAGAATGATAGCATCAAACTTTGACATCGTTTGTTGGTAATGTTATTCGTAGACGAACACGATTGAAAAAAACAGCGTTTTGACAAAGCGTTATGCAAATCTATAAGCCACGCGATAACGATGCCTTGTGCGTCGTTTTTATAATGGTATGATGATACCCTTGAAAGGGGAAATTTTATAATCACTCGCAAAATGAAGTAAGCTCTAATTTCGGTATCTCATTAGCTGTATTTTACGCAAAAAGTTACCAATGCTTGGAAATTGAAAAACAAAGCTATGAACAATTTCGAGTACCTTATTACTAGTAATAATGGACTGCTATCGACGTCAGGGGGGTTAGATACGCAGCGATTTTAACACGCTTTTAACATTATTTAAAGCACCGAGGCATTGGCTATCGTTTTGAACAGCACAATGGCAGAATTGAATCGAGAGTCCGCCCACTTGGGATTTTTCTGTAAAATTTCACGCGAAACGTTGCGATGCATCAACCGCCGCAACCAAAACCGGTTTTTCCTAGAGAAAAAAAAAACGATCCGAAAATGGATGCGGAATGAAAGCAAAAAGAATGCATTTGCCATTGAACGTACTCGAATGGATCGCGAAATCTCTTTTATCCCTCTGTATATTTTTCTCGAAATAAATCACATCGGCCTCTATCCCCCGCCCGGTAAACAAAAAAATTGGAACGAATGGAAAAAATTCATCGGAATGTCGTTAAAAGTTCGGCGGTGTATCCTACCGACGTTTCGCTAATAAAATGGTACCTCGCGTCCGTCGCGGTTCGCGCTAATGCGTACGCCTAACCCTGCAACCTCTCAGAAGTGGGTGGTGGATTTTATCTTGGTAAATATTTTTGGTAACTAATTTTTCTCTGCGTCAATTTTATTAACACATTGTCGACGATATAAAATATTGCAAAAGCTTTGAGCATCGTGTTTAGTCCTGTCGGTTTCTTATTTAAAGTTTATAAAGTTTATTGGAATTTATTTAGATTGTTTTAATTTCACATTCGATTACGAAATAATAGCCAATAACGTGAAATCTCTTCTGTGTAAAATTTCCAGTCAACAATGTATCGATATTTTATTAATAGTTCTGTTTCAGGTCACTTCAAAGTTGAAAAGCGGAATTTTTAACCGAGACGTCTACCGAAAGGTCTTCAAATTTAATTTCGAAATAAACAATAACAGCTTGGTAGATGGAAGAAGTTTCGCCAATAAAATGGTACCTCGTATCCATCGCGATTGGCGCTAATGCAAACGCCTACCCGTGTAAGCTCCCCCTCGACAAGAGCGTGAAAGAGCGACGAATGGAAACCGGAGTTTCGTTGCAAAACACTCCAGCCTGAAATACATTGATCCCGACACCGGCGCTTGATGCACAGCCAGTATCTTTTGACACACGATCTTGCCAGAACTCGATGTACCATGCAATTACTCTATCTCACTCTCTCGCTCCAGCCACCCTTCCATCGGATATTGTGGAAAGAGTCAGCTGGCTGCTCGCTGGGGCTCCTCGACGCTCCAGGAAAGCCTTCTTAAGGGGCTATCAGACCATAATGGGATAGATTAATTAACGTAATCATAATGAGACGATCTCATCTTGACGCACAATGTAGGCTACCCGATATCACGAGTGTCCCGATGTCCCTGCGCGTGCACACGGCAGCTACCTGTAACATGCGCGCGCGAATACCAACCCGCGCCAACACATACACACGCACACACACCACGAACGCGAGGGCCGTGTATTACTGACAAGATAGGTCGAACAATGGCTTCCATTACGGGTAGAGACTGGCTGAGTTAATGGGCAAATTGTCTGCTAAGTCATTTAAAGGGCTAAGCCTGCGCGGCGGAGGTTGCTCTAGTCTCTTCACGCGGTTTGCTGACAATCGATGCAATTAGATCGATGGCGTACCGCTGAAGGGACGATAAGGCTGCGAAATTTCGGCCCCGCGTATATGCGGAAAGTTTGATTCAATTAGTTCGGAAAGTTCGTGGAAATTGTGGCTGTTTCTCAACTGACGTCTGATTACACGTACGACGAAGGTGTTTTCACGGGCGACGAGGATGGCGAAGCAAAGAGTTAAATGCGGTGTTGTATTTAAAAATAATTTGAAACAGTATCCTTTTCCTGTAAACTTGGTATTGGTTGTAGAGGAATGATTACTGAAGAATATAATTTAGCTATTGCTGTGATATGGAAACAGACTCCAAAATTAACACATCGACCGGCAGACTAATACTATTGAAAATTTCTACTGTGATTAAATTTTGTTCATGGACTATTGAAAATTGCAGAATCAAACATTGGTTGTGCTATTTATTTTTGTAATTTCATCGAAATTTAAGTATTCCATTCCAATTTATTTTCTTTTACGCTCAACTTTCAGAATTAACTTTTTTACGTATTCCAAAATGATTAGAGTTACTATACTTCGCCAAAAATTATAGGAATTCGTAACCAATAAGCTGTTTCTACATAAAATTAAAAATGATGTTACTACGCGGTGCGAACACTTTGAAAATCGCTCCTGTAGCGTATAACAAAAGCTTTGCTCCGAAATATCGCTCTACAATACGGTTTTCAGTGACAATACGGCTAATTAAAGACCCGTCTAAACAGCAAAACGGAGCCGTGCTGATAGGGGGTGTCGAGCTTGACGCGACAAAGAAGACCTACCCTACGCATTCCCTTGGCAAAGCAAGTTCAAGGCCCATCGACAATAGACGCAAATGGGAGGGACGGGGGTGGTGGAGGGAGATGCGTGGCAATATGCTACAAGTTTGTTCATTGTGACAAGAGTACTCACTCTAGCTGGCAGGACGTTTCCTAGCAGCACCCAGTTCCGAATGATCCTCTCCTTATCTTTCTCTCTCGCCGATGCGTGGTGGGTTCTTTCTCAGCCGGTTGCAGGATATGCACCACTCATCGATCGCGACACGACCACGTGGCGATCACGAGCGAGCTGTCCAATGGGGAGCGAGAGCGCGTGGAAAGGGAAAGTAAACGCGAACGATCGTGCACGAGGCTCGATCGCCCCGCGAGAATTCAAAGATCACGATCTATACGGCATTCGTCATTCGAGTGTCTTTTTCTCTGTCTGGGGCGACAGTTACTAAAAGCGGTGGCTTTTACGCGCGCCACCGATCCAAAACACGGTTGTTGGGGCCAAGAACACGTGACACCGCGACGCCTGTCCGCGGGTGACTAAACGTTGAAGGCAGGAACGCGGAGTTTGCGCTCCAATCTCCAGGAACCGCGAGAACGCGTCCGGGCAGAATTTTCGATGGCTCTATCTGCCAAGGGATTCTCTGCGCGATAATCAATGGGTGGGAAACGGACGTAGATCAAATTCTGAGGGTGGTGTATCGGTTCTTCGCAGTGGAGAAGAACGTCAATGATAAGGCTACTCGTGGCGGGTCTTTTTGTAGCAGAGACGAACAACCGCACGGTCTGGCCAGCGCGGAGCGACTGCGAGGGACCGCCTGAGTATGCCTACGTGCCATCTAGCGGTATCCGCTTGAAAACGCAACCCTTCTCCCGCGCAGGGTTGGAGGGGGAAATGATAGAGGGGAAGGCGATCCATTTCCACTGTTACTTCGGGGGATAGTTGCGAATGCCCGCGCTATTGTACTCCCTAAATGCCACGACGAAACTTTCGTGTGATTTCAGACAATGACGAGGGGATCTTCGAAATCGTTACTTGCGCGATGCTTCGCGATCGTAGTTGCGTTTTCCTTAATTTTATAATAACAAAATTCAATTCTTTGGATGAATACCTAATGTGGCGAATATAGCTTCTAGTTGCTCTGAGAAAGCACTTTCAATGGAATTTTGCTTTTAATTTTATGATGATCAGTAGGAATGTACGTCGGTGAAATTTGTTCTGCGAATGAGTAGTAAAAAGGTGGCAATACTACAGGAAATTCGCAGGAAACCACGTAATATAAATTCATGTTACAGAAGGGTGACTACTACGTCAATGTTTACTTCACACACATGATTTTTCTGCGATACATAGTTTTGTGTTGCACCGAATAGGGTGTACTTTATTGTTTTCAAATCTAGAATCAATGTTTGTATTGATGAAACCTTATATAGATATGACGCTAATTTTTGTTTAACAATTCCCTTGCTAACAATCTAATTTCAATGAAATAAACCAAAAACTTAATAATTAAATTCCTTTCAGGGTTAATTCAATAAACATCGAGACTAAATCGCTGCATAAACAACCCGCGAATAATTCCCGTTCGATGTGCACGAATATGAAAAACTCCTGCTAAAAGTATGCGAAATATACGCTCTCGTGCAAAACGAAATAAGCAAATGAACATTCTTATATTAATTTACGAAAGGTATTCCGCTTCGACATGGGTCTATAAATGCGTGAAAGCCGCAGGCCCGCTCGTCATCGATAATTCAGGTCTGGCCTGGAGTAGCTTCAGCTACAAAAGTAGATTCGGACGGAACGGTCCAGACGATACTGGCGGTCGAAACCTCGTGGTTCCTCCGGTCGGGAGTCTGTATGCCCCACCAACAAACGCGGAAAGCGTACGCGGAAGCGCGGAAAAGCCGCAGGTGCGGGAGGCGGGGCGTGCGGCGCAAGCGCAGGTGCAAACCACACCTCCGCAAGCTCTGTCAGGGAGGAGCGAGACGCAAGACCATTCGGAGAGCCGTTCGTGATTGGCGACTCTGTTCACCTGCTTGGTCCCCATGTCCTTGCCGTCTGCACTCCATTCCCCTGATCCATCCCCCTTCTCCTGCCCCCAGAACTCCCCCTCCTGCGCCCAGAACGGAATCTATTAATGCACCTGCATGATGTTAGTAATCACCTTTCCCCTGCTCTCACGCTAATCTTCCGTTCTCTACACGATCGCATCGGTTCCTGGACCGACGAGACGCAGCCACACGTCGTCTTGAGGACTCCGCTCGCGGAATAATAAGCCACGACGACAGCTCCATGATGAATTTATGACGCGTGCACGTACGGGGGCCGTGCATCGATTCGCCCCCGCTGATAATCAGACATTCAGGCTCCTAATGTGCCGACCTATTTCCCGCCAATCCCACGAATATTTTGATGCCCCGAGGGAAGCCATTGAAGGAACCGTGATTCACCGTTCGCGCCATTCAGGAAGTTTTAATTGATCGCGGGCGCGCGGTTCCTGGGGACCGTGCTCAAGTATTTTTTAAACTGGTACCGCCAGTCGGCTTTCATTATTCTGTAGCTTCCCATTAACGACAGGCCCTCGTTAACCCGCGGAATTAAGGATACGAAAAGACACGGAGAAATGGAGGTATTCTCGATAGATTCTAAATGTGGAATCTAGAGGTAGGAAATCGGCAAAATAGAACTTTTTCATCTCCCAATGTGGTTAATTCTTAGAATTTTGGGATCTCGAGACGTAAATAACTCCATTCGAAGCGTTAGAAAAATAACCTCCCTCCTGCACCATAACTAGGACTTTTTTTTCTCCCAATGTGGTTAACTCTTACAATCTTGAGGTCTTTAGAAAAATAACCTCCCTCACCAATCCTCCATAGTGTCCAAAACTAAAATTCGATGCCCCGTCGCCGAAGCTGCGCTCTGTCAAGAGTAATACTAGCGATAATGCTAAATTTTATGTTTCCTTTTCGAGTCTTATAGCCTTAAACAGCTCTTAGAGATCGGTCGATACCGATAGTCTTGGGTTTTCGTCTCGAATGATGCCTCGTCGGAAGGCAGTTACGATCCTTACGATGAAAGTTGGCAGGCAGCAGGAGGAATTAATTACCCAGGAAGCCAGACGCGGCACTTTGATGTCCGACTGGCTTCCGGCGACCCACGCAAGGGCCAAGGTAATCGACTTTGCTCGTTTGAGCGCAAGTCGTAGCTAACCACCTACGGCAGTGGATAACCTACGTGACAGACGGACGGCCACCGTCTACTTCCAGAGCGCACGCAACACGTCCGAATAATGTTATCAACATCTAAGCTATCGAGTTATCTGGCCCTGGAAAACTGCAACGACTATCATTCTGTATACGAGTATTTACAGTCAAACCCGTAAATATTCGTATCCTATATGTCTATTAAAGAAGTTTGAATAAATTAAATAATAGTTTTGATGTTACCAACTGAATTTTTCATTATAAATATGTACGTTGCATGATTTTCAAAATCGCTATCTTATAATATTAGACAACAACGTAAAAGATTAAGAAGGCCAATTCTGACATGCTCGAGGGAACATGTAGCTGTCAGATTATTCATGCGTGTAATAGCTCATTTACCTTATGACTACGTGTGAATATAATAAAGAAGTTGGAAGTATCATAAGTAATTGCTAGAAAATTATTTCCAGAAATAAAATAATGTGCGTAACGCGCGACAGTCCCGAAACAACAGGAAAAATGCAGTAATATTTCAGCTAAGAGGTTAAATTTGTAGCAGGCGCGACAGCCCTAAACAATAGCCTCAGCCATAAAATTTAAACAGAGCGAACGCCAGGCCGACCGCCGTGGACATGAATTATTTAAACGTCAGAATATTACGCAAGCGCGACGTGTTCCCTCCAAAAGTATGTCGCATGCATTCCGCGGAATGCAGTCGAGCATGAAGTAAACGTGTTTTAGAATTACTAACGTGGCGAGTGGTTTACGAGAACTAGGTGTCGATTAATCCAAAGCACATCATTGTAATGTATAAACGACGCTACGCTTGAATATTTTGTTTCTGTTCCATGTCAGCCTCATTTGTCCCCCAAAGTCACACGAGTGACTGAAATGTTTATGCGTGGCATGTGATTTTCAGTAACATTCGAAAATAGAAAGTTTGAAAATATTATTTGTAAGCAGTGAAGCCTAGAGTATACTAGAACGTTACCTATAGTTTAAAGTTTGAAAACAAGAGAAAAGAAATTAAGTAGGGTTTCGTTAGCCCGATCATTTTCGCTCAGTTACGAAAAAGGAGCAAATACGGTTCCAATGTTCCAAACTAACAGCAGGAAAGTTCGCTGATTTTTAACCCCAGCAAGTGTTAAACTTTCGGCAGGGGTGGCCATGCGTCACAGCGTTATCTTGTCATCGGGCTTACATGCGCGTTCCAGGGAGTTAAAAGGCACTTGAAAAGCATAAAATGGCCCCCCAAAACGAATGCCAGCCCCGTCGGATCGGCTGACGGGACATAGTTAAGTCGGCGAGGCGCTAAGGGAAAGAACAATGGCTCATATAATGAGGGCGAGCGCCGCGGCGCAAAATAACACGTGGAAAACTCCCCGGCGGAAATCCGGCTTTCCTCCGGGAACGAAATAATTACCTCGTGCAAATATTCGTCGGCGCCCGTAGACCACCCCCCGGGCGTCCCGTCTCCGTCCCCGAAACCCTTTACCTCTTTCCTTTCTATCTCTTCATGGAAGGTTTGGTCAAGATTTACATAAGAATAACCTGGAACAACAATCCCTCGAACAATTACCTCCGTATTTAGCCGGCCATCGTCCCTGCCCAGGACCTACTGGCGACCGTATTATTCTAATAAGCCGTGGCCGTCCTATCCAACAATGATACCCGCTAGCCCGGGGGATATACGTAGACCAAAGTTATTCCTTTTATATTTTTTAATCGCCCAGCGGGACACACCATCCGCGAAGCTTTGAGTGTTCTCGGACCGCGGTTAATGCGTCGCGGCCATTGTTTTTGAATAGCCAGTACCTTTGTTCGGGATCAATGCCGGAGCCACGATCTGCTAGTTTCATATTTCTAACCAGGAATTCCTGGGGGTCAGGAGAAGTGGAGCCTTTTTGGAATTTTATTCAATGGAAATTGAAGCTTCCTTTCGCGAATTCTGTGTAGTAGCTTCAAGAGGACAAAGAATACTTATTTGTACATTGGTGTACCGAACATTACAAATCGAAACAAAATTCGGCTCATGGAGGGGTAAAATAAAAGCTATTTAAGATGCTATTTTAAAGTTGCTCGATAGAAGATCTCGGGAACACGGGAGAGCAGTTTTTCGCAGCGATCGAACTAGACCGATCGGTCTGCCTATTCGTTTGGCTTTCACCCCATGATGGGATCTGATAAAAGGAAGGGAGGATTTGAGAGACTATGGAGTCAAAGAGGGATCCCGATGGTCTACGAGATCAGGTTGAGATCGCCGTCCCGCAAACACGAGCGATATCGATTCCCCCGAAGCGAACAACCTGAACGAGGCCTCTACGAGCACGTTCGATTTACGAGCGATTCAACGATAACGAGGAGACGAATGGAGAAGACAACGAGATAAGATGAGATGCACGAGAGCCATCCTGGTACCTGAAGAGACTTCGCTAACGAGATTACTACAACCCCGACGGGTTTACTACGCCTTCGAGAAGGGGGTCGCTTAGTAAAACTCCGCCACCTGTAGTACGCGTAATCGCTCGGAGGGCAA